GAGGACTGTGGTTGTGATGGATGTTGAGGACTGTGGTTGTGATGGATGCTGAGGAGGACTGTGGTTGTGATGGATGTTGAGTACTGTGGTTGTGATGGATGCTGAGGAGGACTGTGGTTGTGATGGACACTGAGGAGGACTGTGGTTGTGATGGATGTTGAGGACTGTGGTTGTGATGGATGTTGAGGACTGTGGTTGTGATGGATGTTGAGGAGGACTGTGGTTGTGATGGATGTTCAGGAGGACTGTGGTTGTGATGGATGTTCAGGAGGACTTTGGTTGTGATGGTTGTTGAGGACTGTGGTTGTGATGGTTGTTGAGGAGGATTGTTGTTGTAATGATTGAGGAGGACTGGTTGTGATGGTTGAGGACTGTGGTTGTGATGGTTGTTGAGGAGGATTGTTGTTGTGATGGATGTGTAGGAGGCCTGTGGTTGTGATGGATGTGTAGGAGGCCTGTGGTTGTGATGGTTGTTGAGGAGGACTGTGGTTGTACTCTGAGGAAGACTGTGGTTGTGATGGATGCTGAGGAGAACTGTGATTATGATGGATGTTAAGAAGAACACAGCTGGCATCTGATGGACAGAGACCACGGTTACTGCTAAATACTGCACAGTGCCTAGGACAGTGCCTACCACAAAGAATTACCCTACTGAGAACGTCAAAGATGCTGAAATTGGAAAAGCTGTTGTCAGTTTACTCAAATAGTAGTCTGTTCAGTACATTTGGAATATAATTCTTTCATAGACATTAGCCTTAAGCAAAACTTGCTAGTGCACCTTATCAACAAGCCATTGAGCTGTAACACCTCTGCACAACTAATAAACTGTTCAACAAAGTGGATACCAGGAAACTGAATCATGTTTGTGGAGGGAGGAGGGGAAGAGGTCAATAGAGTACAGACAAATGGAAGGGTAGGCATACACGGTGTATATGTGAGAATGGAGCCACATAAACTGAGGGTATGGATGAGGTTGGGAAAGCGGGGATAGAACCATGGAAAGGAAGACTGATCAAGATGCATTGTACTCATAAAAGGATTTGTTGAATTAAAACCCCTTTGTACAATGACTTAAAGAATAAAAACAATAATAAAAAGAAGTCATTGGAGGGCACCAAAGAAGGACAGACTGGGTGTGGTGGCTCATGCCTGTAGTCTCAGCCACCCAGGAGGCAGACGATTGCAGTTTGAGCCAGCCCAGGGTGCCCTGCCCCCAACAAAAAAGAACTAGTGAGGCCCATCTTAACAAATAAACCAGACAGTATGCCAAGCTATGCTAGCAAGCCATGGATAGGAGGGTCTCAGCCATCCCCCAGCAAAAATGTGAGACCCTATCTAAAACATAACTAGGGCATGGTTCAGGTAGAAGAGTGCCTACCTGAAAAGCACAGCCCTGATTTTAAACCCAATACCACAAGAAAAGAAGGAAAAGAAACAGGGACAATACCTCATCGTCACCAAGAAGCGGGTAATGTAGCTGATGGGCCCAAGTCAACACATTCCACAATCAGGAATTATTTCAGGAATTTCCCGATTTTGTAAAGTAATAAACATTGCTAAAAGCACACACACTCTGAGTTACTGGGCTATCTGGAAACCACTCATCTGACCGCTACAATCCTGAGGGAACCACCATTTGCTGGCCACCCAGGCTGAGCGAGGGCTGACAGCCTCTCTGTTCTTTTTGCTCTGCCCCAGGACTGCACCATCTGCATGGAGCGCCTCACAGCCCCCTCAGGTTACAAGGGCCCACAGCCAACCATCAAGCCTGACCTGGTGGGCAAGCTGTCCCGATGTGGACATGTCTACCATATCTACTGCCTGGTGGCCATGTACAATAACGGGAACAAGGTTAGTGCCGCGCAGTGAGGCCTGCTGGCCCCAAAGCTGGTCTGTGAAGGATCAAGAGCGTGGAGTCCATCCTCGTTCCTACCCTGGGGTGATCTGGGGAGTCTCACAGACAACACAGAATGGCACGGCTGAGCAGGGGCTGTTATCCCCCAAATCACAGTGTTAAGGAAACCTGCCTTCTCTGGCTCAGCTTCCCCAATCTGTACATGGGGTGTGCTGGTCTGAACGGAGGTAGACATCTCATCCATGGGGATTCTGAGGAGAGTACCCGGGTCTTACAGCCTATGGCTGGGTGAAGTGGGTCCCCATCCAAGAAGAAGGTGTTCTCTTATCACAGCGCTGGGCCCAGGGTGTGTGTTCACCCTGGTGTGAAGGGGTTCACGTGGCCTTTCTCTGGGCTAGCAATCTAATGGTGTTACATTCATTTTCCTCTGGTAGCTTCAAAGTACTTCTTGCTTTGTACTTGCTTGCTTGCTTTTCTTCTGTCATACTGGAGCTTGAACTCAGGCTCTAGGCACTGTCTCTTAACTTTTTTTTTTTTTTTTTTGCTCAAGGCTGGCATTCTACTGCTTGAGCCACAGCTCCACTTTGGGCCTTTTGCTAGTTAATTGGACTTTTCCTGCTTTGCGCTGGCTTTGAATCTGAATTCTCAGATCAGAGCTTCCTAACTAATTAGGATAATAGGCATAAGCCAACAGCACCCAGCCTTAAAACACTCCTGATTGGCCTTCCAAAGGCATTAAAGACTTGTGAATGTCTACCTGTCTACCTGGTAGACATTTGGCCCTCAGTGCTCCCCTTTCCCCCTTGGAGGATGGGAGAGCTGTTTGTCTCCATGAGTTGACACTGATCCCCATTCAGCTCTCAGGGAGACTTCTCTTATGATGTCTGTCTGTTTCTGCATTATTGATTTAGGGTCTTTCCTATGCCTAGAGTAACCTTCACTGCCATTTCCATGAATTCGAATCCAAGCTTATTTCACATCCAAGTCAACAATTTTTCTTATATCCCTCTCAACTTTCTACTTATCCAAGAAAATATCTGTCTGGAATTGAAGGGCTGTTCTCAGGGTCTCTTGCTAGTTGGGGGGTGGGGAGGGGTAGGGAGGGCGGGGAGGAGTTGGGTAGAAGTAAGAGAGGAAGCAGACTGCACTAGGCTCCTGAGTTAGGAGCTAAATGATGTTGGGCCAGACTATTTGGATCCATCAGAGTACATTTACATTTTCCATCTGTGAAGTGGAGATAAAAAAAATAATACCAGCTGATAAAGCTGGTATCATTATTACATTCAAAATGGAATCTCTTTGTACTATGGCTGTATTTTCCCCTTTCATCTTTATGAACCCTTTAGGATTGATGTTCCCAAAGGGCCAACCTTGGGATCTTTTTTAAATTATTATTAATTTTCATTTTACGAAGCAGTTTGTGAATATAATCCCCCTTGATCAATTTCACCCCATCAACATCTTCACCCATCCCTCCCAACCTACCTTTTCCCTCACTTGTCTTAATTGTATAGGTTATACATTGAATTCTTTTCTTTCCCCCTGTCAGTCATGGGGCTTGACGTCCAGGCTTGAACGCTTGTCCCTGAGCTCTTTTGCTCAAGGCTAATGCTCTACCACTTTGAGCCACAGCCCCACGCCCAGTTTTCTGGTGATTAATTGGAGATAAGAGTCCTCACAGACTTTCCTGCCTAGGGTGGCTTCGAACTTCGGGCTTCAGCTGACAGCCTCATGAGTAGCTAGGATTACAGGTGTGAGCCACTGGCGCCCGGCTCTCCATTGAATTCTTGGCTGAATTCTGTTCTTCTCTCCATTCGTCTACCCTTCTCCCCTTGACCCCATGCCACTTTTTTCAAGTACCTGTTTCCTGATATTTATTTCATGGAACTTTGACTTTGCAACATTGGACTCTTTCTCAAGTTCCTAGGGATCGAGGGTAAAAGTCTGGATCCTGTGCTCAGCCCCGGACTGATGGCTTTTGTTGGAACCTCTGGTGTTCAGAGGTTATTTTGGATTTAGAGGAAGTTCCTGAGCTCATTCATTCCGTTTTGGATGACTGAGTTCAAGAATGCCGAAGTAACTGGTTGCATTTATGTCTGTAACGCTTCAAAAATGTTTCCTAAGGCGTTCTCTTTTGTTCTCCTTTGCCCTCAGACTTTGAAGTGCATGTCTTGATGTTATCAAACAGACTCAGAGAGAAAGGAGGGACTCCACCAGAGGTCATGAAGAGAGTTAAAGCCACCACAGAGAATGGAATGCTGTTTTCAGAGGGAGAGAGAGTAGTTGCCCTGAATAGGAGCCATTCCTCTAAATGAATGAAAATGTCCTCAAAAATAGCTCTACCGAGGAGCTCTGTCTTCCTGAAGAGAAGGGGGTAGCAGAGAGGGCTTGGCTCCTAGCTTTCTACTGAAGTTGCTCTAAGCCTTCTCCGGCTCTGCCCCCACACTGCTTTTTGTTCGTTTGTTTGTTTGTTGTGTCTGTTTTTGTGAGTCTGGGAATCGGATTTGCTGTCCAGATCCTGCCCCCGACTCTCCCCTCTTACCAGGTGACACCAGGTCTTGCTGTGAAAACCATGACTCTTCACATCACTACCTCCAGAATATGTTAGTCACTTTTCATTGCTATGACAAAATACCTGATAAAAATAGCTTAAAAGAGGAAAGATTTATTTTAGCTCACAGTTTCAGAGACTTTAGTCTGTTTTCAAGAAGGAGAGGAAGAGGGAGAGGGAAAGAGAAAGAACAGGAGAGAGAGAGGAAGAGAGAGAGAGAAAGAGAGGGACTGTGGACAAGATAGACCCTTCCAAGGCACACTGCCAGTAACCTGCCTCCTTCAACAATCCCTGCCTCCTACATCTCCACAACTTTCCAATAATACCATCAAATTATGACTCTATCCATAGATATGTCCACTGATGAGGTCAGAGCCTTCATCTCCAATCACTTCCCTACAGCCCATCAACTGCCATCCAATCCTTTAACGCACAAGCTCCTGGGTGACATTCCAGACTAAAACCATGGCAACCCCTTGGGCCACTAAAGCGGGGGGGGGGGGGGGGCAGCAGGCAGAGCAGACCCACTGGAGTTCTAGCTCTGGCTAGCCGCAAGCCCTTTCATCTTACTGTGCCTGAAGTCTCTTCTCTATAAAACGAGCTTGTAATTCCTTCCTAGTTCCTATCAGAAGATGAGGCCTAAATAAGAGCACATGAAAACTGTAGCACAAGATTTAAAATGCTGCAGTTATTCCCTCTAGCTATTTATCATCACCCACACTTGTAAGCCAGTTTATAACTTTTCAAGGATTATTTTTCTAGAATCGTCTTCAGTTATTCCAGTACAGTGCCCAATTTATCTTTCTGAAGGAGTAACTTCCAAACCTGTGTAGGCATTTTGTCCTTCCATAGAAATCATCAAATACTGAGAAATGCCGCCACTGCTAGACACCCATGGATTATCTCATTTAATTCTTCCACAACCCAAGGACACAGGTACTATTATTATCCTTGTTCTGCAAGGAAACTGAAAAATAAAAGAGCTAAGGAGTATATCCAAGGTCACGCAGCAGGTTAGAATGACAGAACTGAGAAATCCAGGAAGCTTGACTTTAAATGTTATATTCCAAACTCCGCTCCCATCTGTTTCAGTGGACCTGGTGTGGAGTCAGACATCTTTATTTTTAGAAAACTCCCTAGATAATCCCGGCTCCCAGATACTTGCTATCTGTTCCTCTCATTTTGGGAGTTAAATCGTGATTCCTGAAGCAGGCTCTCTGTCCTGCTTAGCTGATCTCCTCATTGGGAACATCTCTCTTATGTCCCATAGCTTGAATTGTGGGTTATTTGTGCATTTTTTTTCCTGTTACTTTGGAAAAGGCAGAAACGGCCTAACTGTCTGGACAGGGTTTGGGGTGTATTCTTCAGATGGGTGCATATCGTCCTTCTGCCCTTGATCATCGTGAGCTGGATGAGAGGTGATCACTAAAGCCCTTCTCCAATCTTTCTGTTTTGGATTTGCCTCCTTAGGATGGTAGTCTGCAGTGTCCAACCTGTAAGACCATTTATGGGGTGAAGACAGGCACCCAGCCTCCCGGGAAGATGGAGTACCACCTCATCCCGCACTCTTTGCCTGGCCACCCAGACTGCAAAACCATCCGGATTATCTACAGCATCCCCCCTGGCATTCAGGTGAGATGGCCACAAGGCTTGGCTTGGATTGTTTACAGGTAACATGTTATGCCATGAAAAATCTCCTTCCTACTGTCCTCTCCCTTCTGCAGGGCCCAGCTCCCCCTACTCACCCAACATACATACATACACACTATTGTTCTTATTTTCTTACGCATCCTTCCAGGATTCTTTGTGCACAGGCAGCAGAGACGGCATCCACCCCTCCCATTTTTACACAAAGAGTGGCATTTTTGGTGCATTGTTTTACACCCTGCATTTTTCAATGAACAATGTAGTCTATAGTTTCCCCCATGTCCGTATAGAAAGAGCTTCCTCATTCTTTCTTAGGCCTGCGTAATAAACCGTTGTATAAATAACTCAATTCCCTCCCATTTGACATTCATATGTATTTTTCTAATCTTTTGTTATAATAAATAATGTTGTAATGAATAGCCTTGCACCCACACAATTCTATCGGTAGATCCATTTTTAGAAGTGGAATTTTTTTTTTTTTTGGTTGGTTGTAGGGCTTGAACTCTGGGTCTGGGCGCTGTCCCTGAGCTCCTCAGCTCAAGACTAGCACTCTGGGGCTGGGAAGGTGGCTCAGTGGTAGAGTGCTTGCCTTGCATGCATGAGGCCCTGAGTTCGATTCCTCAGCACCACATAAGCAAAATGAAAAAAGCCGGAAGTGGCGCTATGGCTCAAGTGGTAGAGCGCTAGCCTTGAGCTGAAGAGCTGAGGGACAGCACCCAGGCCCAGAGTTCAGGAAAAAAAAAAAAAAAGACTAGCACTCTACCACTTGAGCCACAGCACCACTTCCAGAAGTGGAATTCTTTTTTTTTTATTATTATATTTTTATTATCTTTAAGTAGTTGTACAAAGAAATTATCATTCAACAAATCTGTTTAAGGATACATCTTGATCGATGTCACCCCTTTCCTTAGAAGTGGAATTCTTGGCTGAGCAGTTATTTACAGTTTGACTTCGACAGTTACACAAGGCTTTGCTTTTTGGATTTGGAAAGACAGTCCTAGGGAACAAATCTGAATAATCTTCCTTCCTACAAGTAAGTAAATGCAACCAAGTCCCACCCTTCACACAGTGAAGCTTTTTCTAAAGTTCTGAATATTCTAGGATGCGGACTGGATTCATTTCTTCAGCCTATATCTATTAGTTTGGCCTCTTTTACTCCCTCTTACTTGAATTCTACGAGTTTTGTCTTTTACCTAACAAATACTTGAGGGTGAATTGTGGTGTAGGCATATTCCTGGTACTGAACAACGTACAAACCACGCAGGGCTTGATCTCTGAAAGCTGAATTCTAGGGAAGCTGGGAGGTTATAAAGTCAACAAATAAACAAGGTAGTTCCAAAGAGTGGTGTGATGAGGAAATAAAACAGGAAGGTATGATAGCCCATAAAACAATTGAGAAACACATGATTGCTCCGTGTGGGGAGCAATCAACTGGGAAGGAGAAAAATATAAATAACTTCACCAACTAACCTAGACCAAAAAAAAAAAAAAGGAAGAAAGCAGATGTGCTGCAGATGCCCGGATGAGAGGGAGTGTAAACAAAGGGAAACACAAGGCCTTCCATGTCCAGTGAACCTGAGTTTCCATTCCTGACTGAGTCATCGTTCGCTGGAGGCTTGGACAGCTGCCCGCTCATGCTGAGCTTGGTCTGTTCACATGTACTGGGGACAGAAGGAGTGGTGTGGGGTGGGAGAGACCATCGTCGTATGCATCTTGGAGTGCTGGACACAGTCTGAAGAGGCGTGGTACTTGGTTGCCTTCATTGTTTGAGGGCTTAGGTGCACCTGTCTGGAAGGGAAAAAGAGACATGGTGGTGGAGAGCTCTGAAAGATGTGAAGAAATGGAAAGGATTTTTAGTTGGAAGATTAGCAAGTGGAGATGGGGAAAGGCAATGAGGAAACGTTCAAGGCTCAAGGCTTGCTAAGGGGGTAGAGGGGCGGAAGTATGATGGGAATGTAGGTGACTGGCAGTGATTGAAAGGGGCTGTAGTCAGGTCACAGGAGGCCTTGAGCACTGGCAGGTATTGAGGAAACCCTTGAAGAGCAGGTGTATGAGTAGGATTGTGAAAGGTCACGTGATCAGGACTAAGCTTTAGGAGAATTGGCCTGACAAAGACCTGAGAAGGGAAAAGACAGATAAGGAGACCAGGGTAGCAGTCTAGGCCTCCAGTCAGTGGGTTGAGTGAGTTTGCTTAAGTGGAACACTCCTGAACAACCAACTGACTGACCTGGTTTCCGTTAGGCTGTGCATTGTAGGAAGCAAAAACATCAGACTCTGATCTAAGATTCAATCCCCAAGACCTACAACTAGTTAACAGCAATCAAGATGGATGAAAATAGGAAAACTGGCAGAAAGAGAGTGAAAGTAGACTGTATTGATTGACAAGCACAAAGGCCAGGGTGGGATATTCATTAAGGAGAGGTAACCTTTCAGGCCTCCAAGGCAAATGATCAGAGATCCTCCCCTGGGGTGCGGAGGGGATGTCTGCCGCCTCTGCAGAGCCCTGACTCCTTGAGGAATGTCTGTATTCGGGGGGAATGTGTGTCTCGGTGCAGACTTAACTGCTGAGAAGCAGTAGCTACAGGCTCAGTTCTGTGTCCCTCAGAACTGAGGGTCACGTGAATTTGAGCTTCTGAGAGGCTTTGAGACCTTCGAGCACTGCTTCCCCTGCAGAGAACAAGTCCCTAGAGCAAAAGCTCTGGGCTGCACCGAGACAGAGTCGTGACCGCTCTACCTGGCCACCTGCCCAGAATACACAGCCTGGCTGGGTCAGTGCCAGGCAGAGTTTTGAGTTGGACACATTACCACAACCACCCCCGACAGAAGAGAAGCAGTTGGAGCCATGGCCCAACTGAGTGCCCTCACAGACGTGGTTTGACCAGCAGCAGCCCTGTCTAAGGTGATGCTGGACGATCTGCCGCGGTTCCTCAGGACTGGGAAATCATCACTGTCAGAGCCTGCAGCTCCAAGAAGACATCACTTCTTTCAGCTTATAGGGACCTTTCTGCTCTCTGAGAACCACACCACACCCCCGCTCTGCCCCTTGCATTTACCTTCTTCATTCAGCTGGTCAAATTATAAGCCATCTTGAGCTGTAGGATTCAAATCCAAACCATACTTTAAAAAAATTAACTTTGGGCCATTTTGCACAAGAAAGAATGAAAATACTGTGTGCTCTAAGTTTTGTCATCCACTTGTTCAGCCCCAATGCATTTACTGATCACCTGTGGGACGGTTTGTGTCAGGATTTATGTCTGACATTAGTGACATTGTAGTGGTTGTATCTGCAAGGGTTTTTGAAAACGCATTTCTGTCTCTGCAGGGTATGCTCAGAATTGACAGACAAATGTTTGTGCTGGTGAAAAATACATGCGTGGTGGCTGAAACTCTATGGCTTTCATGAGGTGCTAAAGGGGGTCAGTGAAGTCATGGTGGTCCCTAATTAGGAAATCTGGTATCTTGGTCTATTATGTGTTGCTATAACAGAATACCTGAGGTTGGACAATTTATTAAAAAAAAAACCTCTTTATTCAATGGGAAGGAGGATAGACAAAAGAGAGGGAAGGTGGGCAAATGTGATCATAATCCTCAATGTATGTACATGAAAATAAAACAAGAAAACTTGAATAAGATGGATATGGGAGAGGGGAAGAATGATGGAGGAGGTGACTTTGATCAAGGTGCATTGTCTACATAAATGGATAGGTGAAAAATGAAACCCCCTTGTACAATGATTTGAAGATAATCTTTTTTAATGTATGAAGGTTTAGGTGGCAATGGCTCTGAAGGCTAGAAAGCTCAAGACCCACAGATATTTCTGGTAGCATTTGGCCAGGACCTCGGGCGGCTTCCACTCATGGCAGAGAACAAAAGAAAGCAGCCTGGCCTTATAGCAAGACACTTTCCCAGTAACCAGTAGTCTAGTCTCTTGAGAGCAAGGTGGAAACTCCTGTTAGAAAGGCATCAATCCCTCTGGACAAGCTTGCTAGCCCTTATAGACCCCATGTATCAAGCTCCAGTGGCAGCTTCATGCCAACAAGTTTCAGAAGGGACAAACCATACCCCACACCACAGCACCTGGATCCCAGCTCCATTCTGCGTCCATTTCTTTCCCAGTCAGTGACTTGAGACTACTTGTTTAATAGGGTATTAAGTGATGACAGGTGAAATGTTGCTAACAGATTTTTAGTCCTGAATTACACAATCCATGTGGACCACACGCAGACAAATAAAAATCCGTGAGGACAAAGGAGGAGACACACAGGAATGAATTGTTGTAGAATATTGCAGTGGTGCAACTCATAGCTCAGAGACACTTGGTGATTCTGAGTAGTTCAGAGGTGAGAAGTGGAGGATGTGGCTTAGGAAATGGAAGCTTCAGTTTCAGCAAAGCTGTGAAGATTGTGGAAGCCATGGGACTTCTCTGGGCTTTAGTTTTTCCTTATTTAGAAAACAGTAAATGATGTTAGTGGCAATGGTGATATTTAAAAAAAAAAGAAAAAAGAAAAACAACTTTGTTTTCAAGCTTTTCCTGTGCACCTGGGCACCAAAACCACTTAAAATTCACGTCCCACTGAGGGAGTATGTCAAGTATGTCAAAGAGATGAGAAACAGAAACCCAGCTAATCTAACTAGGTCATGCATTTCTCCTCCAATCCCAACTCTAAGGATGTATGCAGGTGTAGGAAATAACCAGCTCCCTTGCTTTTGGGGTCTCTGTCTAGACTCTTGTCACAGTTTTTATTGTCATCATTATTTGAATTAGCTCCAGTTTGTACTTCCCTCTTAGCAGATATCTCAATGGATAGGTATATTTTTTTTGTCAGCCATTGAGTTTAAACTCAGGACTGAGTGCTGTCCCTTTTTGTTTGTTTGTTTGTTTGTTTTTGCTCAAGGCTAGCACTGTACCATGTTGAGACACAGCTCCACTTTCTGGTGTTTAGGTGGTTAATTGAAGATAAAAGTGTCATATGGACTTTCCTTCCCCAGGCTGGCTTTGAACCAAGATTCTCAGATCGCAGCCTCCTGAGTCAAATATATATTCTTAACATACTGTTTGTTTTCTTTCTGCTTTCAGGGTCCAGAACACCCGAATCCTGGAAAGAGTTTCAGTGCCCGTGGTTTCCCAAGACACTGCTACCTTCCAGACAGTGAGAAAGGGAGAAAAGTAAGAGCAGATGTTTCACTATGTAGAAATGGGGGGTTTCATCTTTGGTTGGTATCTGAAGTTTCGCTTCCTGTAATGCACAGACCAGAGAGTCCCAGGCCTCTTTTAAGTCTAAATACACCTGGTAACAAGGTCATATCCAAGTCATGTGATCTTAACATGTGAGTCAAGGTCATATCTATCCCATAGGTAGGGTGGATATAATGAGAATGTTTTTGCAAGTGGGTGATCTATTTTTGGATCCCTTGTCTAGAGCCTTGCTGCTTAAGGGATCCTACTAGAAACATAGCATAACCCTTAGGAGCTTAATAGAAATTCAGAACTAGAACCCACCCCATCTTAACAAGATCCCTAGCTCATCGTGTTTTATATGGAATTGTGAGGAGTAATGCTCTGGGGCGACCAACTTAATTAGTAGGAGATTATTTTATTTTTATGTACTTTCGTACTCTTGGACTCATTCCAAAAACAGCAGAGGGAGTAATCATGGGTGTCTGGATTCCTAGTAATTCATAATCAGGCTTCAGTGAACTCTAATTAGAATAGAACTCCTAATTAGGTTCTACGAGCTCTAATTAGAGTAAAAATTTCCATATTTGTCTTTCTGTGGATCAGGACCCAGAAAAAGCAAAAAACAAAACCTACTGGTTTCTCAGCGTCTCTTCTGATCTCAAGAGGGGAAAGAACCAGTGTGGTTTAATCCGTTTTGCTCTCCAAATTTCAGCAGCTGACTACAACCAATGTTTAGTTTCCATGTACTTTGCATGTCAGTGGTGATATTGTGGCTGTGGATTGTTACAACAAAATACCCCAGGCTGGCTGACTGATAAACACAGAAATGTATTTCTCACAGCTCTGGAGTCTGAGAAGTTCGAGATCAAGGCAGTGGCTGATTTGGTATCTGGCAAGGGTCCACTTCCTGTTCATAGACAAAGCCTTCTTTTTATGACCTCCCATGGAGCACAGGGTCTCTCCCAGCTGTCTTTTATAAGAGCGCTAATCCCATTCATCGAGATTTATTCCCATGACCTAATCGCTGTGGATAGTTCCCACCTCCTAATATTGTCTGTCTTCTTGGGAGAAGAATTTCAACATAGTCCATGTTCTTCCTGTGGAAAGGGGATAGGCGACCAAGACAGAATCCAAGGGGTAGTGTGTCATCCCATTTAGACTTCTAGAAGCTTCTTACATTCATTCACATTTGATAGGCCCCATCAAGTCATGGACAGGTTAGGAAGGGCTGAGTAGGTGAAATGTGAACAGGGAGGCATTTAGGTCTCATGACAAGAGGTAGGGGTATGTTCCCTGCTTCTCTGATAGTCTAGAACCACAAGAGAATCACCCACACAGTGAAGATGTGCCAACAAAATGTCCTCAGAGGGGCTGGGAAGGTGGCTCAGTGGTAGAGTGATTGCCTTGCATGCATGAGGCCCTGGGTTCGATTCCTCAGCACCACATAAGTCGAAAAAAGCCCGAAGTGGCACTGTGGCTCAAGTGGTAGGGTACTAGCCTTGAGCTGAAGAACTGAGAGACAGTGCCCAGGCCCAGAGTTCAGTCTCCATGACCGACCAAAAAAAAAAAAAAAAAAAACAATGTCCTGAGATAAGCAGTCAGGACTAGGCCTCGGGCATCTCTCCTTGAACAGTCATTTTTCTGTGCCTAAACTGTAGATCAGAATCCCTGCTGTTTACTCCATTCTATAGTTTACTATAATGCTTGAATTGTGTTTTCAAGGCTTTTTCTTCTTCCTTCCTCTTTATTTAATTGATTTATTTATTTATTGCCTATCCTAAAGCTTGAATTCTGGGCCTGCACACTCACTCTAAGCTCCTCTTGTTCAAGGCGAACACTCTACCACTTGAGCCATTGCACCATTTCTGGCTTTTTCTGTGATTTAATTGAAGATAAGAGTCTCATGGTCTTTCCTGCCCAGGCTGGCTTAGAACTGTGATCCTCAGATCTCAGCCTCCTGAGTAGCTAGGATTACAGGCATAAGCCACTGGCTCCCAGCTAGCCTTCTTCTTTAGATTAATTATATTTTCCAAATATGAGGGCGCGAACTAGGCCTTGACATAATCTTATACTGGCAGTCTGACCTGCTGCGTGCATCTGGCTCATTCCTCCATGGATTGCTTTCTAAACAACTTGACTTCTTTTATAATTCTTCCTTCTTACCTACTTAATTCTTCATCATTCCCTTGCTACCAGATCAGTCACCCCAAAGTATGGTTTCTTAATGAGAAATGAAATTTGAAAGTAACACACAACGGAGCCGGGCACCAGTGGCTCACACTTATAATTTTAGCTTCAGGAGGCTAAAATCTGAGGACCATGATTTGAAGACAGCCTTGGGCAAGAAAGTCAGGGAGACTTTTATCTCCAAGTAATGCTAAAAAGCCAGAAGTGTAGCAATGATTCAAGTGATAGAGCATTAGTAGCTTTGAATGAAAAGCTAAGGAATAATGCCCAAGCCCTGAGTTCAAGGCCAAGTCCTGGCACACACAGACAAATAAGAAACAATAAACCATGGTTTTGATGATTCACCCTTTGTTCTTCCCAAAGTACAATATTCTCCATTTGACTTAGAACGCCTACCACAGTGTGGATTTGAACTTGCCTCTCTCACTAATGTTCTCTAGTGAGATTCTCGTTGTCCTTGGCTTGCTGTAGCGGGACCCTAACTTTGGCTTTGCTGCAGACTGAGGGATGCAACCACATGTGGGCCTTGGAGCTGGGTCAGCCTGAGCTCCAGACCTTGTTCTGCCATGTACTGTCTGTTGAAACTGGTAGAAAGTTTCGTGTTTTTAGACTAACCTATACATTGCGGTGAGAATTTCTCTCTGTATGGACAGAACCACTGTAGGAACTAAGTGAAAGTAGCATTTGTAAAATGCAGTGTGATGTCAGCTCTTGTAAATACCCATGCCTTGGGTGTATGTTGGCATATCCTTTCCTCTTGATTTACCGTAGATCCTCCCCATTCAGAGAGAGACTCAGCGTCTCTCTCTAAATCTATACTGACCTTTCTCTGAGCTGTGTAGTCAAGCAGAACCTGGAGGTCAAACTCTTAACTCCCATCCCACACTCTCCCACCCACCACCTATAAGAGTAGGGCATCATTTTTGTTTGTTTGTCTTCTGGGCTTCTATTTTCCATTGTCAGAAATGGGGGGGGGGGATCATGAGAGCATGTGTCTCATCAATCTCCATAACCACCACATCTCATCCAATCTCAGTAACCACCACATGACTAAATGCCTTGCATTTAGTAAGTAACCACTTGGGAAATGTTATCTCATATTTTTAAATTTAGTATTATTATTCTACTACCACTCTGCTTTTACAGCCACCAATCAAAGCATGTTCACAATAGTTTCATTTTGAACCAAAAGAATTTTATCAGCTGCCTTCTTCACGCTGGACATTATTCTGACCAAGACTTGGAATAGAGCATTAGAGATAAATGTTTCTCACACACGATTTGGTAGGATTTAGCAAAATAGAAAATTATGCGATCCTGGTTACCTTCTCTGGGCCTCAATTTCTCCACTTGTGAAATTGGGACAGTAGTAGTAGTACCAGCCATGTACCTTCTCCAAGTGTGCGTGTGAGGACCAGTGAGGAAATAAATATAAATTATATATATATATAAAGTAGACCCAAAGAGTTCAAAGTGCTTGACACTGTCACTAGAGAAGTACTGTACGTCAAACTTTAGCCATTAGTAAATGAGTTCTACTTTGAAATAGTGGTGGTGAAGGGTAGAGATTCCGTTCATCAGATCGTAAGCACCTTCAATTCCTGCATACTGCACTTTAAAATGTATATTTTGCCAAATGCTGGTGACTCATGTTTGTAATCCCAGCTACTCAGGAGGCTGAGATATAAGGATCATGGTTCGAAGCCAGCCCAGGCAGGAAATTCCGTGAAACTCTTATGTCCAATTAACCACTCAAAAAACTGGAAGCGGTGCTGTGGCTCAAAGTAGTAGAACACTAGCCTTGAACCAAAAAGCTCAGGGACAGCACGTAGGCCCTTAGTTCAAGCCCCATGACTGACCAAAATAATAATACTATAATAATAATAATAATAATAATAATAATCTCATGTTTGTAGCTTATACTTTAAAATACTGTAATCCATAAACTGGTATGAAAATGCTTTCCATGTAGTCTTCATAACTTTTGGGGCAGATTATATGATCACCATTTTCTAAATGTGGGAATTAAAGAGACGCTTGAGGGGCTGGGAAAGTGGCTCAGTGGTAGAGCGCTTGCCTTGCATGCATGAGGCCCTGGGTTCGATTCCTCAGCACCACATAAGCAGAAAAAGCTGGAAGTGGCGCTGTGGCTCAAAGTGGTAGAGCACTAGCCTTGAGCTGAAGAGCTGAGAAACAGCGCCCAGGCCCAGCATTTAGGCCCCATGACCAGCAAAAAAAACCAGACAGACAAACAATAAAGAGACGCTTGAATTTCCACAAGCTCCCACCATTATTCATTCGTAGAGCTGAGACTCACACTTTGACTCCAAGTTCCAATCTTTCTCCCACTGGATTGCTTCCCACACGGGTGATTGAGGAAGGAGTAGGGGACCCTTGGGACAGCTCTGCTGTCCCAGAGGTAAGTGTCTGACCCACCGTGAGCACCTGCCTTTGTTTCCCTATCTCCGTCCTGCTAGGTTCTGAAGCTGCTGCTTGTGGCCTGGGACCGCCGCCTCATCTTTGCCATCGGGACCTCCAGTACCACGGGCGAGTCAGACACCGTCATTTGGAACGAAGTGCACCACAAGACAGAGTTTGGCTCTAACCTCACTGGCCACGGCTACCCAGATGCCAATTACTTGGATAACGTGCTGGCTGAATTGGCTGCCCAGGGCATCTCAGAGGACAGCGCTTCCCAGGACAAGGACTGAGGCTGGAAGGGTTTTGATAACCACCAGGTCCATGGGGGACTGCAGAACAGCAAGTAGGGAGAGTTGAGGTAGAAGTTGGTACCATGCCTTCCTGACTCCCTCATCTCCCCTCTTGCCCCATCTCCATCCTTCATCCCCCGCCCCCCCAGCCTCAGGGGGATACACCCAGATGGACAAAGGTGATGTCATTCATAAACTTCATCCAACATACAGGGGACGTGGGTTGAAGATCATCCTTAGTCTGGTCCCGTGGAGTGTTCTGGTGCTGGGTAGGCAAGGACTCTCCCCCTCCCTCCTCCAAGTAGGGGGTCATGGCCAGCACATTGCAGGGTATGGACAGTACATGGGCTTTCCATACCTGGACCTTGTGAGGCAGAAGTTCCTTGCCCGAGGAAGCTTCTTGCTGTTTCCGCTCTGCTTTGAAAGCGGAATTTCCACCTCTCTCTCTTTCTTGTGAGACAGGGAGGTGCCATTGTGCCAGGCTGGGGGGAGGGCGAAGGGGAAGGCCCCGCCAAATGGCTGCCACGTCAGAAGTCAAATGCCTTGGTGTAGAGTGGGAAAGCATTTCCTGCTGAGTGGGTCGGAGAGGCAGCCTCTCCTTGAACTCTTCTCCTAAGTCCTCAGCTTCTCCAGGCCCTTCCGTCCTCCTCCTCACACCCTTGACCTGGTCCAAAGAGGCGTCTGGTTCTCTTGGGTGGATGGAAAGATTCTGGGATAGCATCCCAGAATGCTCTTTCAACCCTTCGCTGATAGAACCAGAACCTGCAGTCTGTTGAGCATCTGCCCTGTCCAAAGGGAGAGGAGCCCAGGCCTCCTTCCCAGCTCATCCCAGACCAGCTCAAAGATACCATGAGTTTCATGAAGCCACTGTGAGAGTAGCCCACACGAGGCTCTGTACTGTTTGTGCATGTGCATATGTGCGTGCGTGCGTGCGTGCGTGTGTGTGTGTGTGTGTGTGTCACAGGGCCACGCTGTCCCTCAACTCTGTTTCACAAGATGCCAAACCCCAGTTCCGATGGGGATCAAGTAGTCAGGGTCCGTGATTTTTCCTTACCCGTGCCTGACTAGCTCATAATGAACTTGCGTCTGAATGGAGTCAGAACAGTACTTGGAGAGATACGATGAGGTGAGAGCTGGGTTCTCCTCCTCTGCCCTCTCCCCTGTTGCTTTTCAAGACTGGATCGGAGCCAGCCTGCATCCAGTGTCTGTTTCTGTGAGGATTTCAGTCTATCTTCATGCAACTGTCCTAGGTCCAGCCCAGAAATGGTTCTAGATTCCCCGTCCTGCCAACCCCATCGATTACAGATTGACCCAGAGCATGGCAGCAAAGCCTCTTTAGCCCATTCCTAAGCAGGGATGGGACCACATATGGTCTTATCCAACCTGCATCTGGGCTGTGTCCCAGATGCCGTCCATCTCCTCAGAACAGCCTCTTACCTTTGGTTCCCAATAAAGAATGGATTGGGAGTCAAGGAGGAAAGAGGGAGAAATGAAGAAGGGAAACCCAGTTCAGGAAATCCAATTCCATCTTGAAAAGTAGGAGTTTTGTTTTGGTTTTTTTGAACTGTTTGGAGGGAAGTTCCTCTGGATACTAATTTGAATTTATATACCTCACGTTTTGGAGGTTTGTCATATAAATATATATATATATATATTCATATATATTTCATAAGATTTGGAAGGTTTTTAATGCTTGGAAAAGTAGAAACAAAGGAACCTTCAACAATGGTACTTAAGACAAAGGCTAAGCTTTTGTGAGAGCCAGCTCTGTAGCTGCCTGCCATGGGGCCATTTTGCTATTGGTGTGGCCAGTGGATTCAGCTGAAGGCCATGTAGCTCCCCAGGACTTGCTGGTGCTGAATTCTCCTTCATGCTCTCAGAATGGCTACAGGGGTGTTGATTTGGTCCATCAGAAGGAGTTGTGATAGGAGGAATGCTTCCTGTCCTCTTAGCTCCAGTCTCTCCATTCAGTGAGATGCTGATTTGCCTCACCAGCAGACCAGGAGACTGGTCCTGAGTTCACTGCACCTCCAGCTACATTCCTGCCACAGCTAGGGAGGAAGCAGCAGAACTGTCCCCTTCCATCCCTTGGACAGCCTCACGATAGGATTAGCGTCATCGCCTCCTGCATCCACGCCAAGTACTTGCTAGGCTTCTTGGCCACTGGGATGAAGGCCTGTGGGTAGGAACGTGCAATGGGAAGCGGAGGAAAAAGACATGAAGAAACGCTTTGGTAGCCGGGAATAGACAGTAGAGAGACGCTTCATCGGGCAGAAGAAGGTGTTAAGTGGGAAGGAGACAGGCAAGGACAGGAAGAAGAGGACCCCAGAGGGGGTCTTAAGGAGTCAATGTGCCTGCGGCAATACTCAGCCTTCACACCTACAAGCCTTTCCCCCCTAGGACTGTGATAGGTCCCCGCCCTACTTCTCTTTCTGTCTGGGGATGCTCAGGAGGAGCTACCTCACGCTCCTGCTGCTCTGCTTTGGGCTTGCTTCACAGGAAGGATCTTGGATCTCCTGTCTAACAACTGTGCCAGGTATCACAAGAGGGGCATAGCCTTCCCCTGGTACCAGCCTAGAAAAGTACAGCCTCCATTTCGGGGAGAACCGTGCCCATAGAACCCCGGGGCACCCACTATGTGGATACAAGGCATTTCCCACTAGAGGCCCTGCTGTGCTCTCCTGGCCTAAGCAGGGACTCCCGTGCTTTTCCTTTCGTGGTCTTAGCACCAGCAGCCTGGTTCTCCCTTCCTGAGTCTCTAGGTCAACACCTGGGATTGCAGAGACACACTCGGTCAGACGCGCATCCCTTAAAAGGTTATAGGATATATACATGTTTGCCTGTGCCTTTGTGTTTTCATTCCCCCTCCCCTTGTTTTGTAAAACTTTGGACTTCTCTGTGCTTTCATACTTGGTCAAAAGTACTTGTCCTGGTTACTGCACTGTTTGGTGCATGGGAGAAGGCCCATGGGGCGAAAGTGGGGACCCCTGCCCCTTCTCCTGGTCTGTGGTCTCTGGCGCCTGAGTGGGGGCTTCTGGGAGAGGGCAGTTACATGTCCACCTGTAGTGTGTTCTGTTTGTAAACTGCTGTGTTTTGAAGTTGTTTGGGGGTTGTTTTCTTTTTTTTTTTTTTTTT